TTGTGAGAATATGTGGGAGACATCAAACCTAACATGGATACCGTTGATTTTAAATAATAAGCAACATTCATAGTCAATAGATTATACATGAAAAAAAATATTTATCATTCCCATAAGTTGGTAGGAAGCAGTGAATAATTAGGAATGGAAAGCTAGAAACATAGTTGATTTAACAAATAACTGCAAAAAATATTGGAAAAAAGAAAAAAAAATGCTTAGAGTGTAGGCATGAGAGTGTTACATTAATGATTAAACCTACAAACAAAAAGCAAGTAATCATTAATAGTTAGTTGTGGATATTGAAATAGTTTACTAAGCTGAATACTATATACTGGTTATTAATAATTGGACCTTAGTTTGAACATTGCATCATGTTGATAAAAATTGTTTCATTAATTAGAATACTGAAATAAGGGGTTGTATATGGAATTCTTGATTGTGTTTTTTAGATTGTTAAATTACATACATTTTTCATAATACAATACATATGTTTTTATTTTTGTTCATACACAATCGTGAATTATTTGGTTGCTTTGACTAAATTATCACTCAAATTGAATGATTAAACAAATTCGAATTTTAGCATAGACTGTCGAGATAATTGGTATCGGTGTTTGTCATGTTTATTTTTCTTGAAATGTATGGTAACAATGCTCTTATGTCGTCATTGAACACTTAATTCAATACTTCAATTCAATGCGCAATATTCCAACCAATGATATTTGTGTTGAGATTTTAAGATTATCCTTCATTTATAAGTTAGAGAAAAATTCTAAATTAATAATTAAAATATGAAAATAGAATAATCAAACACCAGAAAATACTTACAGAGACTTAGCGGGCTACTCAGTTTTTCATAATTTTAACTTCCTCTATGTTTTGTATTAATAAAGTACAACAAATGTGTCTAGTCTATTTGGTTATAGTTCTTGTCTTTGATGGAAGGGACCATGGTTCGAATCCTAGCATTGATATATTTTTATATGAAATAAAAAATTGATTGTGTAGACGAAAATACCCTTCCTACTTTCACTCTCATTGCAGGAAATTTGAAATGGAGCAAATCAAACTCTTTAAAATGTATTAAAAGTAGTTTAGATAGATTTAGATTTAGATTAAATTCATTTGATGTTAATCGTTTTCAAATCCAGTGCAAACCAACACAAAATAACTGTACCACCGGTCGAACCATTTTCCTTATTAAACTGAGACAACAATATAAATCGGTTTGACTTGCTTCACAACCATATTCCATGAAAAGCATTCATCAACAGTATAATTTATAGCTGAAACTTATAACTGCAACCCCAATTCAAAATTTCCTGGCTTTAGAGTGACTCTCGGCTGCTGATGTGGCTTCTCATTTAGGCGGGCTTTTCCATCTTTTCGCCTTTGTCGTAAACTGCATCCTCTCTACCTCACTCTTTCTCTTTCCATCGATTGCATATCTCCCATCAACCCTAAATCCTACCCCATCGGTATCATCCTGGGTTTGTTGTCGTCTCTGCCTCCACTCGCGACCGTAGTTGGGGTCACGAAATCGGTTTCGCCAACTGGAAGTTTGTCAGGTTAGATCTTTTGATTTTCTGTTTCCCTAACATTGTCATAGTTTAGAGACATTTATCCATCGCTCGATATCTACCTCCTCCAGGGTTTGTCGATCATCTGAAGAATTGGAACTCACAGCAACTGATGGGAACTTGGTTCTGGGAACGCGATTGCATCGGCTATCAGTTGAAGTATTTATTCATTGGGTTATATGATAGACCGCTCTGTTTTTCGTCATTGACTTCAACGCCGTTTTATCAATAGCAAGCAAAGGTCAGTATTCGTTACCTCATTGCTTATTTGTTGTTGGTGAGATGGGGTTTCCCAAATCAACTGCCCTCACCAATACCATTCAATATGTAATGTATTGCCATCACCATTCAAATCTAAGATGTCCACCTCAGATTCGTTGAAGCGTTGATTTGATGAATTCGTCATTCCCATAGCTATTTGTGCTTTTGGGCAATTGTGAATGTATATTGAGTTTCGCCCTAAGTTAAACATTATTCTTCCCCCCCCCCCCTGTTTTGTAGTATCGTGCTTAGCAAAGTGCTGAACTTTATAGCATTTCAGGTATGCACGATGTGTGTATCTGCTTAACATAGCAGTTTAATTGATTAAGTCAATCAAAATTCTTACTACCACCTGCTATAGAGCTGATCTATTTGGTACTGCAGATATATGCAACGACAGTTCTTTGTTTGTTCATTGGGATCTACTTTCTGATAGATATAAGGTTCCAAATCGAGATTGACTTAATCGGTTACCCCTAGATAAACAAATGGCCTCTCTTTCTGAAACCACGGCTATTCACTCTATTAATCCTATAATCATTATATCCATCATTCCTTTAGAATCAATGTAAGTTTAAAAGCTAAACGGCTTAGATTTGCTTCTCTTTCTCCCCCAAGTAGCTTAACTCCATTTTTAGACATCAATAACAGCCCCAAATATTAATAGCGACCGACTAATTCTGTAACATGTCAATCCCCATATAGGTTTTGGTCTCAAGGAATGATGGATATAATGATCTGCTCTTTTCTGTTTATGCATTTCGTGTCATTACCTAACACAAACTTCTGATGGTCGATGAGTTCAGTTTCTGTACTAACAGTTCTATTATTTTCTCTTAATGGCAGCTACAAAGTTAAGCAAAACGAGTTCATCAACCGCTCTGGTGTTAGTGGTGGCTTGATTAAACATCATTTGGTACAACTCTCTCCTCATTTTGTAATTCTGAACACATGTCCATTGGTTTTGATAGAGGAAGAATTGAAATTGATTTTCTTCAAAATGGTTCTGCTGAGTGTTGAGACTTGACATTACGTATTTCCTACTTGATCCTTACCTCTAATTATGATGTGATTGTACTGGTTCGAAAATGGCCTGTCATGTGGTAGTTTAGTTTATTCTTTTTAAAGTTGGATGAGTTTATTCTTTTTAAAGTTGGATGAAGCTTCACTTCCTATATAATTTAGATCATATGCTAAATTATGTCTGGGTCCAGCTGCATTATGCATTTTGAAGTTGAAGGTGCCTTCTTGATGCTATTTCTTTATCGCAGATTCATGCACAGTGGTACACCTTGCTCATCTTTTCCACTTTTGGCCGTTGACCAGTTAATCAAAGCAACCTTCCTTACCCAATTTTTGATTGGTTACCAATTATATATTAAGCTAAGTTAACATGCACTGATCTAGCTAGGTAGAATGCTTGAGTGAGTGCTGCACATTAGCAGGAATAAATCTAAATGAGAGGCCTGACTTGAATCATGGTAATCGGGGGAAGGCGGGTGAGTGATGCACATTAGGATAAAGGTATTTAGTATTTTTCCTTTAGTCTTTACCTAGGTCGAATGTTTTCTGGTTAATACCTTAGTTTGACCCGAACTATACACAAATAGACAACTTTGACCGTTGTTTCAGAAATTGCTATCATGTCCACAAGCCCACAACTGTCAACTACATATTTCTATGAAGATTGATTGTGCATATATACCATGGAAGCACCTGTCATGTTGTCCTTATGGACTTTTGATATTCTTAAAGTTTTTGTACTGGTGTAGGTATCTTTCTATACTTATATAGGTCACTAATGTTTAGAGTTGCTTATTTTGTATTCTACCAAAGGTTACGACACTTTTTCACTTCTGGGGCAAATAAATAGGGCCACTCCAAATGTCATCCTGTCTGCCCAACTACAAATTCATTCCTCTATGTAACTGTGTTTAATTAAGTCGCCTTAGTTGAATTGGTTTCATGATAAGTGAAACTTATATTGCAATTCAGTAAGCGTTGCCTTATTCCTTTTAATTTGTTTTCTAAAACTATATTTCAGTTCCTACTTACATTTATCGGTTCAACCTTACTTTCTAGGTGTGTAAAGAAATATGAGGATTTATGGTCAATAGTTTAACATTCTCTTTTCTTTTGTGGAGGTAATCAGCCTGAACATGCTTATGGTAATTGGTTCAGTAATGATTCTTTCTTTTTATCGTGCTTACGTATGTTGTTTGACCTATATAACAACTTAAACCACTATTGTACATTCTATAATTGGGTTCGAGAAGGGAGATGTGGGGGTGATTGTCAACTTACATTGCTCTGGGTTTTCAAAGCAGTATTGTAAAAAAAATGAAGTTTCCCAGTGCATATTTGATGAAATTTCCCACATCATATTTGTCCAGGCCATCTATTACATGTTGTTTGTGTGTTTTTCCTGTCAAATTCTCCTGCACATTGTTTTTTTTCCCCTTCAAATTTATGATAGTTTTGACTTGGTTGATAACACAAGTCAAGAGTATCATGGGCTAAACTTATATGGAAAGGGACTTCCATTCGTAGGAATAGATTTTTTACTTGGTTGATAACACAAGGCAGAGTGTATAGAAAGGACAAGATGGCTAAATAGGGATTTGTGGGTCCTCTTGACTGTGTTCTGTGCAATGTAGGTTTGGATTCAAGAGACCATTTTTTTAGGGAGAGCTGTGAGCGCTGGACTTGGAAGAGTGATCTGGCATTCAATGGTCAGTAACATTTGGAGGGAAAGTTGCAGGCGAATGTATGCAAGTAATAGTAGAGATGTTATTACTTTATATAGAAGTGTAAAAACGGAGGTTGAATGTTTGTTTGCAGGGCAAGAATCTTGATTTGTTTTGGTGGTAACAGATGTTTCAGTCATTGATTACTTTTGGGGTGTAGGTTCTTTCTTTATAGGAATAAATTCTGGTTGTTTTGACAGGTGATTTGTAAAGTTGTTTTTCATGTACCTAGCTAGCAAGGATGTTGCTAGAAATCTTTTTTTTATGAAAATTGAACCCATCGATTCATAAATTATGTTTGTGTAACATGAATTATAACAAAATGAAATGAAATTCGTCTGACCATCGGTCGGGTAAAAGCTAGTTAGTTTATAAAAAAAAAAAAAAAATACATGCCAAATATCAAATATGCCATCAAACCCCATTCCCCTCCCATTTCGTCAAATCTTTCTCCAGATCAGTCTCTCTCCGGACTCCCAGCAGTTCCACTGATACTACTAGCAATTAAACCCTATTTAGCGCGATTGACAAAGAAACAGAAGAACAAAGCTGCAAGGAGTTAGGAGAGAGAGCGGGAGCAATTAACGCCGTTCCTTTCGCCGAATATCCGTTGCAGCCTGCAGCCGAGTGACGGTGAACAGCTGCCCAATCGGCAGCCGGAAGACGGTCACGACTCCAGGTCGTGCCTCTTAGTATCAAAACCAGCTGTAGCAAGCAGCAGCGGGAGCGTCCCGCAAGATTAGGTCAGCTCCTCTTAATTCCTCTCTTCACCCCTGGCGATTTTCAGTCTTCTTCTTAGGCGTGTATGATCTTTCGAAGCATTTCAGAGATGGTTTCTTTCTAAAGATTAGTCTGACTATGACCTCTTTCTTGCGGGCTGGTCATGCTCATGTTAGTAGTACGGCGCGCCGTAGTTTTAGAAGGATGCTCTTCAGACTGGTATTGTTGCAGCGTAAATGGAAAGCGATTGCTACGAATTAATGTATGGATAATGCTTTTTCCCCACTTGTCATAGCAGGAAAGGAGCAATGCATGGAGATTTGACATTCCAAGATATGTACAACAACATGGAGCTGCTTGAGGACGAAGATGATGATAGTGATTGGGAGCCGGTTGCGGAACCAGTAGAGATGATTAGTTGGTTCTGCACCAACTGCACGATGGTGAATCTTGGTGATATCGCCCACTGTGATGTATGTTGAGTTTCATGTTCCTTTCACTGTATTGGTCTATAAGATATATCTCTTGAAGATGCCTGTTCACTGTGAGCGACATCCTAATGCTGGTCTTTGTCTGATAATTTTCAGTTATGCGGAGAACATAAAACTTCTGGTATCCTGAAGCATGGGTTTCTGGCATCTTCAAAGTTCCCCCAGGAAGACAGTCATATTGATGGGAAAATAGAAGCGAATGGCAACGGTAGTTGAATCTTATCGTTAAAGCTGTAATTTCTGTCATGTGTTACAAGCTTGCAACATGTGTGGTGTGCATGTTGGGAAGTTCTTGTGTGTTTAATGAAAATAGAGAATTGTGTACTTCTAATTACCGAACAAAAAAGTAAAATAAACAATAAAGGTATGCCTAATGTGTGGAAACTGTGACTTCTCACAGTTTGGTGGTATTCAAGTTAGTGGAGGGCTTGATAGATATTGAAGAGCAGTGCTTTGAGATTGTGTTCCTTTTCCTGGCATTTTTGGCCAACGTTTATCATTTCCCAGTTTTTTCGAGAAAGGATAGAATTTGGTGTGTTGCTTTATAGAGACTTAAAATTCGTTAATCGCCTTTAGGTGTGATTTTCATGTGATATTGGGTGTGATTTTGTTAGTGATCAATGATAAGGAGGGGTAGTGGATTAGCGATCTTGAATCCTTTGGCCTTTCATCGTTGGTTACTTCTAATGTGATATTGGGTGTCAATTTGTTAGTGGCCAATGATAAGAATGGGTAGTGAACTTAATCCTTCTTTCTAAATATGGGTTTTGGGTAGGGAGAGTTGATTTCTTGTGGTTGAATTCATTGGTTCCACATAAATGCCATCTGTTTATTCTGGGAAGTGGTTTTGCTAAATTTATTGATTCTGAGGGTATGTAACATTGCATTTGGCTGCCGTGTACTTGTAGAAGTTAGGCAACCATTGGGAGTGTATCAGTAGTGTTTTAGCAATGAGTTGGTGTAATGGTTTGTTAAATTCTACCTTTTGTTCCCCTGTGACTCATGACTATCATATTCTCCTTGTTGCTGTCTAGTAATTGGATTCCAACAGTCAGCCTTAAGCAGTCCCACAGCAGTTGGTTTTGATGAGAGGATGCTGTTGCATTCAGAGGTATGTTGCTGTTGGTATTATAAGGAGACACTGTTGCTCCCTTATTTTGCATCTCTTTCTCTTGCTACTAGCACCTTGTTTTCTTAAGTTTGATCTGATGAAACATGTGATTTTTGAATTGGAAGTTTGATGCAAAACTTTGAATCTGAAAAATGGGAAAGTAAGAGTTTTGCTTATTTTTTATTTTATTTTATGATCTTGTTTGTAATGTAATTTCCTGAATTTCTTTTTAAAGTAGATCGAGATGAAGTCACATCCACATCCGGAAAGGCCAGATCGCCTTCGAGCCATTGCTGCTAGCCTTGCAACGGCCGGTACTGAGCTTTCCTGAATAATTTCTACTAGCCTTTTGTTTTTTTTTTTTGGTTTTGGTTTTGTTTGTGTTACCACTTTCTTGAATAATTTGTCTTCATGGATTGTATATGCAACTGTGTTGGTAATTTGGAGTCTGATACTCCGGCATCTCTTATTTGCCAGTTCTTGAATTTACTGTGGATCCTTTTGTTTATGCAGGTATATTTCCTGGAAGATGCCAGGCTATTGCTGCCAGAGAGATTACTCGGGAAGAACTTGAGAGGGTTAGTCTTAAAAAATTACTTCTCATTTGTGTTGTGTGGGTGAACCCTGGTAATATTTTGGATTGGACCAGAGGCTAATTACAGAACATTAAGAGTTAGCCTTGAGGTTTATGTTTCCTGGCAAATACAGTAGGAATGTAATAGAACCAGACCAAGTATTTGTTGCCCATGGTTATTGGTAATTACTTGTCACAGTGGGTATATGAAAATACGTTTTCAAATTGTTGATTAGTTGTTTAATCAAGGACCATAAACATAATCCTCGCCTTGCAAATCGAAACATTCCCCCTGTGGAACTGGATTGTGCTATAACCATCCCAATCATGTTACACTGACCAATTGTCTATGAATCAATTCCTTCTCCTTGTTAATAGCTGTTCTGTTATTGGTCAACAATTTACAGGTTGCATGTTTGTCTCATTTAAATTCTAGGTGCACTCTGTGGAGCACATTCAAACTGTAGATTTTACTGCCAATATCTTCTCCAGGTAATACCCTTGCCACTGAACTTGAAGTGGAATCTTGTGTGCTTATCCAAATTGAAATTTAAGAGTTTTTCCCCATTTAATCTGAATGTCAGCTACTAAAGCAAGTGTTTGCTTCCTCTTCTGTTTCATTGCTGTTATTTATCATGAGAGACCAACATGCACTGGTTAATTTTCTCTTTTCCTTCAAAAGGAGGAAAGGTTTTGACTTTTTCCAAGATCAAACGATATTTTTTCATTAGTTTCTGTAACTTATGTGATATTGACTAAGCAGTTGTCATTCTTATTCTATGTCCAATATGGTGGTGGTTCTTGTAAGAGAATATGTGGCTTCATTACGTCTCAGCTGTTGTAGATGATGTATCATTCTTATTCTCCCTACTACGATGGTTGTACTGGTAAGACAATATGTGTTGACATTACTCGTCAACTGTTTTACATCCATAACCTTGGATTAGATGAGATAATTTTATGGGTTCCCAGCGGAAGTGTGTCGAATGTAGATTAGCTTGTTCAACGCATTTGTCATTATATAATGAAGGCTTTGGAATTGACATGGGGATCAGAATAAAGTTGCAAACAGAGCTTGCCTATAACCCTATGTTCATGTGAAACTGGGGGTTGTCTTTAAGGAGTTTCGACTTTGTATTTCTGGATTGTTTCTTCCTCGCTCTAGTATTTTGTTTGTTGTTTCAGAGGAATTATGCTGCTTCTTGTGTTACAATTGATTGTATACTTGTGCTCAGGTTGGGTTTTGTTAAGGTTTAAGGTGTTTTCACTCTCATTGTCCTTGAACAACTATATTGTACGTTAGTCTCTTTACTATCCTTAGATTTGGGTAGCCACTTCGGCGGTGCTTTGGCATCACAGTAACCCTGTTGTCTGTATATGGTAAGCTTAGTTTGGGCTCCAGTGGTATAGTTTCTTGGCATCTTGGCTATCATATGTTTGCTATAATTGATGTCAGTGGATTATATGTTGATTTATGATTAGCTTTCGCACATTTGCAGTTATTTCACACCTGACACTTACGCGAATGAGCATTCGGCTCGCGCTGCTAGACTTGCAGCAGGTTTGTGTGCTGATCTTGCTTCAGCAATATTTTCTGGACGTGCAAAAAATGGTTTTGCTCTGGTATGAATATTAAAGTATCATGGCAGTTGTTGGATCTTGCTAGGATAATATGAGAAACAAAATGAATCTTAATGCTCCTGTTAACTCTGTGATTATAATCAGGTTAGGCCTCCGGGTCATCATGCGGGTGTGAAGCAGGCAATGGGATTCTGCCTTCACAATAATGCAGCAGTTGCAGCACTGGCTGCACAGGTTGCTGGTGCCAAGAGGGTTCTAATAGTTGACTGGGTAAAGTGATTGTCAACTAGTATGTATGTAGGTCATCTTCTATCTGTTTAACTGATTTACCTATCTAATGCTATTTTAGGATGTCCACCATGGAAATGGAACACAAGAAATTTTCGATGACAACAAATCGGTAAGCTCAGTAGTGATGGGTTATTCACCTCTTGTAATGATATGTCGCATCTGGGGAATCAAACCCAAAGACTTGGATACCTGTGTATTATGGTCTTCATTGTTTCCAGTTACCTTGTTTTATGTCTGGAATTTTTGCCAGAGTTCGTTAATTTCTTTGTGCTGGTTTTTAACTTCATGACTTGGATGTATCCATAGGTACTATATGTATCCTTGCATAGACATGAGGATGGCAAATTTTACCCTGGTACAGGAGCTGCTAGTGAGGTACTTGACTACTCAGGCAGCATGATAAGTAGATGGAACATCAGCTTATGTAGTTATCTTTCATCTTCATTTTATTGCAGCATGCTCAGTACCTTATGCTTGATGTTTTGGTTTAATGTGTAGGTTGGTTCAAAGGGCGCAGAAGGATATTGTGTGAACATTCCATGGAGTTGTGGTGGAGTAGGCGATAACGATTATATTCTTGCATTTCAGCATGTCGTGCTACCTATAGGTTAATATCCATTCACCCGACTTTCTGCAATTAGAAAAATTTGTAGTACTAAGCTGAATCGGAGTTTGTGAAGTGCTAAGTTATTTCCTGATGTTTGGTTAGGGCAGATTTTTGTTAAAGAGCTTTGAGGATAAATGTCAGTAGATCCTTTGTTAAAAAAAGGGATAAATATTAGTAGACCATTCGAAATAGAATTCCAGCATATATGGTCCATCTACCATGCATAAGCTTCTGGATGGTTGACGTTGTACAAATCACATTGGCTTTGGTAGGACTTTTCAAGGTAGTAACAAGTCAATGCAGGATGCTGCTAACATACTATGGAGCAGTTTGAATGGGGTTTGTGGAAAATGAAACTTCTCTTGCAGTACACGTTGCCAAATATACTTTAAATGCAGCAGTGCTTTTACTATGATGATTCCTACCTTCCGCTTCTTCATTTTACAGAATCGGATTATGCTGACTGTCAGATATGTTTCTGGTTATGTTGATGTCTCTTGAATGCTATCTTTTGTATCTGAATATAATAAATGGTGGATTGCACTTTTGCAGCCACCGAGTTTGCTCCTGACTTCACCATCATATCAGCAGGGTTTGATGCAGCAAGGGGTGATCCACTCGGACACTGTGATGTAAGATTTCCACCTATTGGATGAATTTATTTGTTTCAGGACCTTGTTTTCTAGTAAAGACTTTGATGTTCAAATATTTGATATATCTATAAGTTCTTGAAGCAGTCAATCCATATATCCTACTCTTGCAGGTTTTCTGAAATTCCTCATGATTAAAATCCCTCTTTTTTTTAGCTTCCCCAAAGTAAAATACAGGAAGGTTGCCCATAAAAAAAATAAAAAATAAAAAAATAAAAAAAAATCCGGGAAGGTGAGGGATTGTGGCAAAATCTTGCACCACAATCCCTCATCCAAACGACCCTTAGGTGTTACTCCAATGTCAATGTTATCGTTGTGACAAATATGCAGTTCTGACCCTCAAAATAATGAGGCATGGTATCCCGTTCTGACCGGCATAATTATGATCCACTAGCTCTAATTACATCGATGAACCAAAAATGGGCATGGCTTCATTGGCAGTTAAGTTAGAAAAGTATGTCAATTAAGAAATTTCCTGTTGTAGGGTTCCTGAAGTTCTCTAGTTGGAGTGATTGAGGTTGGTTCTTATCCTGCTTAACCAAGATTACAGGGGCTTTATGACATTTATGTACAATCTATTCCATGACCTTGATCAAGCATGACTTGACTATCATGTACTTGTTTAACAAGAAAAATATTTGGACTGTACGACGATTGTATCAACTTAGGACAGTGACATATCCTTCTTTTGAATCTAATTTTTCTGCTGTTTTATAGGTAACTCCTGTGGGCTATGCACAAATGACAGATATGTTGTCTAATATCTCCGGTGGCAAGTTACTTGTTATTCTTGAGGGCGGGTTCGTTACTCTGACATCTTCTGTTTTCTTCCAAGTTATTTTTCATGAAAACTCACTGCACTATATCTACTGCAGCTACAATCTTAGGTCTATTTCATCTTCTGCTACTGCAGTCATCAAGGTGAATTATTGTCTATAGTAATGGGCTTATAATAGATGGTCATTTGATACTAACCGTGCCATAATTTTCACAATTATGATAATGTGCATAACCACTTATGAAGAAGTTGGGTTCTCACAATATCTTATGGATGTGAAGCTTATTTCGTTGTTAGAGTAGCATCATGACATAACTTTTTGGCAAAATGAAGGTATTGTTGGGTGAAAATCCTTCAGCCGAAGTGGCAGACATTGCACCCTCCAGAGCTGGCCTGCAAACCGTGATGGAAGTTCTGAAGATCCAAAAGGACTTCTGGCCTGGTGTTGGTGCAAGCTTAACACAACTGCAGTCTCTATGGGAAGGATTCAGCTATGATGATAAAGGTGAGATTTTCTCCTCATATTTGCTTGCATTCCTACACGTCCTCAATCAGCAAATTCACAAGAACGTGCTGATAGCATGGATAATCCATTTCTATTAAATTCAGCAGCAGAGAAGGGGCACAAAATGAGGCGCAGAGCAGAAGCTCCGGTATGGTGGAAATGGGGAAGAAAGCGGCTATTGTACCACCATTTCATCACCAGGCATCTTCGAGCAAAACGAAAGAGGGAGCAGAAGTGAAGTAAAAGGAGGCGTGCTCGTTTTATGATGTTGAAGACATGTAGTGTAGGGTGATTTTGTGAATCCCTGATCAGTAACCAAACTAACCTAGGGTTGTAGTTACTCTCCGTGATTCTGTGCTAGAGAAACTGCTAGAGAAACAGGATGCTGTGCTTCCTGGGAGAGAAGCTGTGCAGTTCTTTAGTTCTGGCCAGACAGCGTGCCAGCACGTGCCGGGTGGCAGTTCTTAGTTTATGCCCGATCTTATTTTGTTGTTGCAGGAAACTCTCCTTGCTCTTAAATAGAGTAGGAAACCAGGCCCTTTTGACTATTTGGGGGTAACGTGCAAACTTTACTATTGTCTCTGAGTCTGAAGGGTATCCCTTGCCCACACTTAAAATCACGATGTTGCCAAAGCTGTACCCAGTCGAGCTGATCCACACCCGAAATCAACTTCGTAAAAGACGCTACTCAAACTGGTGAACACAAATTACGCCTATTCCACATTACCTTTCATCTCCTCCCTCACGGAGCTCTCACTAAAGACTTAAAAGACAGAACGGCAACCACCTTGTTCGAGTTAGGGGTGAGCAGTAGATTGTTTTATGCGGATTTGAGTGAATTTGGAACCACTTACTACGTTACGCGTGAAAGAGAAAATGACTCATACCCACCCAAGCATTACATGTGGCTGGGTTGGGTGGATTAGCTGCGTTAACAACATACATTTCATATGATCTCATGATTTCGGTAGTTATAAACTTAAAATGAAAGAAATTTTCAAACTAAATAACCCTTAATCCACAAATCAGGTGAATCCTCTATTTTGCAATGTTGGTATTGGTAATTGTCCAAAAATTACAAAATATTCAACAGATAAACATGGTCTAAGCCTAATAATAACCCAGGTTCAAGAAAACACTAGGCCTAAGGCAAACGTTTTGGTCTTGCCTAGCGTCTCATTCGCCTAGGCTTTGTGAGCATAAATAGCTTTTAACCTATAATCGTAAATTACAATTCCAAATTGATGGAAGGAATGAAGGACGAATCGGTGGTATTTTGAGATGATGTCATTTTGGGGAAGACAATTGTCTTTTTCTGCTATTTTATCTACTAGTTATGCTTAAACGTACCTCCAATTGCCCAAGCGCACCTCACAACACAATCATTTGATCGTAATTGAGAGGATTTTTTGTGATTTTAAAGGTTTCATTTTCGGTAAAGCTATATGTTAGAGTTTCGAAAGTTTGAGGTTAAAAAGTTGGGTGGATCGTGGGCAACCATAGTCCACCCGCACCCACCCAATCTTTTATAGGTCACCTATTTTACAAGTCACACCCACCAAAAGAACTACTCACACTATAATGAGTGAATCACAAATGACAATTTGTTATTGACTTGGGAGCTCCAGTACTTGAATGGAACTGATGTGTATTGCCCTTGTCTGCTTTGTGTGAAACTTTACTTAAATTAGTATAAAGAATCAAGATCTAGAAACGGAAAGAAAGTTCAAGCTGGCTGATCTCAGGGAATCTCCATCCGCGGTGGATCTAGAACACAGAAGAGCACTTGTCGCATTTTATAAGAAAATTAGAACCATAAAAAAATTAATGATTATAGTTTTTTTATGTAGTGATTCTTAATTATCCATTAATTAGGGATCACTTTGTACTTTTCCCTTTACTCCGCGTTGCATGTGTATAGGAGTTTAGGGTTTGGTTTTCGGGTATAAAACCCCTTGTAATTGCCGGCTGTACTCAAGAGAGAAGTAAGATAATAAAACCTATCTCGAGAGCTTCGTGCTCTCCGTGGAGTAGTCTCGTTCACATCGAACGGGGAAACCACGTAAATCGCTGTGTTCTTGTGTTCTTTTTCCTTCCGCATTATCGTATTTTACATGGTATCAGAGCTGGCTAATTAGATCCAGTTATCATCATCATGAGTTCGGGCGACGAGACGGAACAACCCTCGAAGCTCAAGTCTGGCGGCGCTGGTGGCTCCATGAATCCCCACGTTTTGCCGCCGCATCTTGTCCTCCATAACTCTGACAGTCCAAACAGTCAGTTTGTGGGGGAGCTGCTCAACGACGTAAACTATAGTGAATGGGTCGTCGACATCACTGATTCGCTTATTGCGAAAAACAAGCTTTGCTTCGTGGATGGAACTCTACCGCCTCCACAAGGATCAGCCGAGACAGAGGCTTTGCGACAGTGCAACGCCATGGTTAAGGGCTGGTTGAAGACCTCTATGACCAAAGAGGTACGCGGCAGTGTGCGTTTTGCGGCAACTGCGCGCGAAATATGGGTCGATTTGCAGTCCCGCTTCGGTCACGGCAGTGCACCGCGTATCTACGAGCTCAAAACCACCATCATCAGCTTGCAGCAGGAGAAATCCTCCGTATCGTCCTTCTACACAAAGTTACGTGGCTATTGGGACGAAATTCAGTCGCTGACTCCTTCATTGGAGTGCACTTGTGCAGGCTGCAGCTGTGACGTGAAGAGGCGGCAGCGCGAGGTACGTGAGAGCGAGAGGCTGTTTGATTTTTTGATGGGTTTGGATGATGTGTTTGCTACTGTTAAATCCCAAATCCTAGCCATGAAGCCTATCCCTAGTCTTGGAGAAGCATATCAGCTGGTCATGAACGACGAACAGCAGCGCCAAATAGCACAGAGCCGTCGTCCACGACCAGAGGCTTCGGCCTTCCAGGCACAGGGGGAGAAACGCGCTGAACGACCTGATCGGTCCTCCACTCGATCTGATCGAGATGCTCGTCCGGATCGTGAGCCAGACGATCGCCCGCGCTGCTCCCATTGTCGACGTCGAGGGCATTCGAAGGAAACCTGCTATCAGCTCATTGGTTATCCAACGCGCAGCAATAACAGGTCAGCTGAGCAGTCCTCTCGTTCGCGGGCTGATCGGGACTCGCGTTCTTCACCACAGGCCGCGCAAGTTGATGTGGCGGAGAGCTCACTCCCAGGTATAACAGCAGCGCAATTCGCCCAATTGAAGGCCATGCTTGCCTCGGAATTTCATCACTCGTCGTCGGGGTCCATCGAGCCTTCCTCAAATATGGCAGGTATGTTTTCGTCACAGTCTCATATGTCGAAAACGTGGGTAATAGACTCCGGGTGCAATGAGCATATTGTTAACCACAGTTCTTTGTTGGATGTCGAGTCGGATTCTTGCCCGACCTTGCAGGTGAAAATTCCTAATGGTACAGGTGTTAAAGTCCATAGTATTGGCTCGACTAAACTGTCGGATGATTTGATTTTGGGTCGTGTGCTACATGTTCCTGATTTTCAGTGCAACCTCCTGTCTGTTAGTCGGCTTACAGCAGATCTGCCAGTTGCATTGATCTTCTTACGTGACTTCTGTGTAATTCAGGACTTACCTTCCAAGAGGCTGATTGGGATGGGTAAGCATGTTGATGGTCTTTACATTCTTCGGCTGTTCGATGGCGATCATCCTATGGCTAACAGTGTCAGGAGTGCAGTAGAGACTTCGGAGTTGTGGCATGCGCGTCTTGGGCATCCATCGTTTGGAAAGATGAATGTTTTGCAGAAACTTGTTGATTGTGTTTTTGTTCAGAATAAGGAACCCTGTCAATCTTGTTTGCGTGCTAAGCAAACTCGGGATCCCTTTCTTCCCAGCACTATTAAATCCAAAACATGTTTCGAATTAATCCATGTGGACATATGGGGGAGTTATAAGACAGCTTCTACTTCAGGAGCACATTATTTTTTGACTATCGTGGATGACTATAGTCGTGCAGTCTGGGTATTTTTGATGAGATATAAATCTGATGCAGGCCGCCACCTCTTATATTTCTGCAACATGGTTCAGACACAATTTGGCAGTCAAGTTCGGCGCATACAAGCCGATAATGGCGCTGAGTTCTCTAGCAACCAGTTAGTCGAGTATTACGAGAGCAAAGGCATTATCCTGCAAACTTCCTGCACGGACACTCCACAGCAGAACGGCGTTGTTGAACGTAAGCATCGCCATTTACTTGATACTGCTCGGGCACTGCGTTTCCATGCACATCTCCCGTTACGGTTTTGGGGAGAATGTGTCCTCACTGCAGCGTATCTCATAAACCGTCTCCCTTTGGTACCTATTGGCAATAAGTCTCCTTATCATCTTTTGTTCAACAAGGAGCCGAGTTATAGTCATTTACGGAGCTTTGGCTGTTTGGTATATGCTCGTGATACTCATCACAATTTACACAAATTTGGTGATCGGGGACGCATGGGGGTGTTTCTGGGTTATCCCATGGCACAACGAGGCTATCGCATATATGACATTGAGAAGAAACAAGTGTACACTTCACGTGATGTCAAATTCCTCGAGCATATCTACCCCTACCGTGATCTACTTACTCCTGCGCCTCGTCCAGGTTCTCTGCCGCAAGGGCTCTCCCAGCCAGCTGCATTGGACGACGAGGAAATCGCACCTGCCTTCCGGGACAGTGACGGGCTGGATGCTGCACAGCCTAATTCTCCTTCGGCCACTCCTGGTTCGTTGGAACCCACGGACTTAGATGGTGCTCTCACGGATTCTTCTCCGCCTCCCTTTGCTTCGGAAATGGAGAATTCTCCTTCTTCTTCAGCAGGTGCTCCCACTCCCCCAGCCGAGCAGATTGCACCTCCCCTACGGCGAAGTGATCGCGTGCGAAAGCCTTCCGTCCGGTTGGAGGGATACGAAGTACAACTCCCAAAGGCAGCTAATTCTGCTCGTGCTTGTTACCCGATGGATGATTACCTCAGTTACCACCGCCTTTCTATGGCGCATCACGCCTTTGTTGCCGCGGTTACGGGGATCAATGAGCCGAGATGTTTCTCTCAGGCCGTTCGCTATGAATATTGGCGCAAAGCCATGCAGACTGAGATCACAGCTCTTGAAGACAATGGTACTTGGTCACTAGTTTACTTACCCCCGGGCAAGAAAGCTATTGCTTGCAAATGGGTTTACAAGATCAAGTTCCATCCTGATGGGACCATCGAGCGTTTCAAAGCGCGGTTGGTTGCCAAAGGTTTTACCCAGGTTGAAGGCGTTGATTTTCATGATACTTATGCCCCTGTCGCGAAATTGGTCACTGTTCGCTCTGTTCTTGCTGTTGCTGTGACGCGTGATTGGCACATCCATCAGCTTGATGTCAACAACGCATTCCTTCACGGTGATTTGGAGGAGGAGGTATACATGCAAATCCCGCAAGGGTTTGCCAAGCCAGGTGATACTCGTGTTTGTCGGTTGCATAAATCGATTTATGGCTTGCGTCAGGCTTCTCGGAATTGGTACCAGAAGTTCACCCAGGCCTTACTTGAATTCGAATTCGTCCAGAGCAGGGCGGATCATGCTCTCTTCACTTATCGACGTGGCTCCACCTTTGTTGTGGCTCTCATCTATGTCGACG